TGCAGAAGGAGCTTTGGTTCGGTGCTAGATATAATTCCTCTGTCTGATTCTGTGACAAAGTTGACTGCTCGTTGTGAACTCTGCGGGAAACAGGCATTCTTTACCTTAAGGAAGACTGAGGAGACACAAACAGAACTGATTGGAGGAGCTGATGTCTACATGCCTGTCTGTAGACAGCATTATGTCAATGGACAGGTTGTTGTAGAGGCTACTAGAATTGTCTTAGAAACTCAGAAGCTTCAGTGCAGCTCTTTTTCATAGTTCATCAAAGCTTGCTCTCACAGCAAGGCATTTAGGTCTTCCTAAAACATTAAGCTAAAAATATTACATTGTCCTGAAGGGACTTCATGAAATGCTCTTGTAAGATAAGAATGTGGACGTAATTATAGGTTGCTTGGCTGAATAACCGAGTGCTGTAGTCTGTTTAACTCTAAAAATTCTTCTTACCATGGAAATGTGCTGGAAATTTTGTTTATCATAGATTTTACATCTTTTTGGTGTGACTAAGGGTTAGGGACAATAATTTTGTTACCAAATTTTTCTTCACATGTTTTAAGAATCGAACTTAAAACTTTTAATTTGAATTCTCAAGTTTATACTAAATGGGTCAGCTTATTAACAAATGAAAAACAATTCTAAAAAATTATGTTTCATCTAACTTTAACTTTAGTTCTTGCAATTGAGACGATAATTTTTAGTAGTTGTGTCAATAGACACTTAATATTTAGCACTTTTATGAGGTTTTGATGCATGGATTGTGTGAAAGTAGCCAAGCTGACAAAGCAAGGGCATTGCTAAGCAAAGTGGTCAGCCTAAATGTTGTACACTTCAACATGTTGATGGATGGATATGTTGCCAGTGGAAGGCTTGATGAAGCTTGGGATTTTCTGTGGAATATTATGTCAAAGGTTGGATGTAAGTCTGATATTTTTACATATAACGTACTGATTCATGGACTTTGCAAGGGAGGATATCTAGGTTCAACTCTTGAATTGGTCAATGAGATGATAGATATGGGCTACAATCCTAATGTTTTCACTTACACGATTTTGATCAATGGTTACTGCAAGGAGGGGCAACTTGAGGAGGATGGCAGTATTTTAAATGAAATGTCTTATAAAGGAATCAGTCTGAATACGGTAGGATACAATTCCCTAACAAGTACACTATGCAAGAATAGGAAGGTTCATGAAGCTAAGGAAATGTTTGGTGAAATGCAAAAACAAAGGTTTCAAACCAGACACATTCGCTTTTAATTCTCCAATATTTGGTCTGTGCAAGGTGAATGAAATGGAAGAGCCCTTAACAGTGTATCATGATATGTTGGTTGAGGGTGTTGTTGCCAACACAGTGACATACAACACACTAATTCATGCTTTTCTGTGGACTGGTGCCATTCAGGAGGCACTCAAGCAAGCTTGTTAAAGATATGTTATTTAGAGGATACCCTCTGGATGAGATCACCTATAATGGCCTAATTAGGGCACTCTGTAGAGCTGGGGTCTTGGATAAAGGATGAGGGTTGTTTGAAGAAATGTTGACGAAGGGACTTGTTCCGAACCATGTTTCCTGTAATATTGTGATCAATGGCCTCTGCTGCTCCAGGAGAATGAATAATGCACTTGAGTTTCTCAGGGAAATGATTTATCGAGATTGTTGGAGCTATGGCATGAAAGCTGAAAATGCAGTGAAATGAGAACTGCTAAATGATGCTGCAACATGACTGCACAGTAGCAGCAAATGACAGCAGCATGGAGCTTCACATGGGCTACAAGAAATGGCAGCAGACTTCATCATTTTAGTCAATGTTTTAGGTAGTTAATATTTATTTTATTAGGTAAAAAAATATTATTGTTTTATGTGTAGACTTCCTCTATAAAAGGGAAGGAAGAAATTGAATGAAAACTGAGAGAGAGAGAAACATGGATTCTCCTCTCTGGTTGGGTGAATATCTGCATCCTTCCATGTTTATGGCTTTATGTTCTATGTTATGTTGTGTTGTTTTTGGTATAAATAGCAGTTATGTTGTGTTGTTTCTGCTATAAATAGCAGAATACCGAAAATTGGTTCTGACCTCAAGAGGGAACTCCGGGTGTCTCTCCTTCTCCTCCAAGTTCTCTCTCAATCTCCCTTCTTCTTACCACCAAAAATGCAACAGAGGTTTGACACCAGATATAGTCACCTATAATACCCTGATAAATGGTCTCTGCAGGGCAGGTTGCATTCGGGAGGCCTTGAGTCTATTTGAAAAATTATAAGTTGAAGGAATTTATCCTGATGCCGTTACTTATAACACTTTGATTAGTTGGCACTGTAAAGAGGGTCTGTTTGATGATGCCTGTTTGGCTCTTTTTTATCTTATCAGGTGATGCTTTGATCAATTTGTTTAATTTCATATTGTATAGTACAGCTTGCTCCGGTGGGAGAATATTTTTGTGGTTTTATAGATGCTTGATACATATTGTATCCAGTCTTCTATTTCTACATAGTGAAAACCTAACCAAGTGAAAACCTAACCATTTTTGTTGAACACAGCAAATGCAGGTTTGGCAGATGAAGAACCAGACTGCGTCTTAGTGCCGTTCACTGAGCTAAAGGTAGCAGATTAGTGAATCCTACTGTTTACACACAAAAACAGCTCGAGCCTGATGGTGCTATGTGTCCATGATAGAAGTTGTGTTGCTGTGATTTCACCGCATCATTCATAGATGAAATAGTTGCTTAAAGGCATTCAAATGGAGTAATTTTCAACAGACAAGCAATTGATGAAGAAAA